TTAGCGTGATAAGGTCAAGCCAAAACGCACAGAGACTGTCAGCGTAGCATCTTACACACGTCTAAAAATATGCGGGTCAAACACAAAATTTGTAACTTACATAGGGTAAGTATTGTCCATTACATGTCGCAGTGCTCCGGCGACGACGAGGCATCTGCCAGAGGTATAAATAAGGAAGCCAACAAATCACCGGAATACGCCTCAGGTGTGCGAACCGACCCACGAGTCACTAATTACCCGATGCGACACAGCTGAGGCGTTGATCCCACAAAAAGGGAGCGCAGGAGAGGAAAAAAAAGAAAGAGAGGCAGGTCGCGCCGAGCGGACCTGACAACTCTAGAGCTGTGGTACACCTGCAAAATGTCTCATTAGTTTTGCAGGTGTACCGCTCAAATACTTTAAGCTTTCATGTTATGCTACATGGCAGAATTGTACATTTAATCAAATCAAACTGTAGAGCTGGCATATGTGCATTTAACCTGTGTACCGCATTAATATTCAGCTTTCAGCTGCTCTAACACTGCACTCTGATAATCAAGCCCACTTTATATGTGGGCTCGAAAAGCAGAGGGACTGCCCACTACTCTCAGCAATTTCAAGTAATAAAAATATTGACCATATGGTGGAAAGTGGGTGTGCTGTTATGGTAATACATTTTAATAAACTGAATCAGGATCGCAGGAAGAAATAACAGACATACTTCTCCTTGTGTCCACAAAGACAGGACATGCAGGAAGGGTTATTTTACATCATCAATAATTCCACAGCTCAGCCCTAAAGGTCATAATTATGAATGCATATTTATCATCGCAATGTAGATTAGGTAGACTGGCAAATATAAACATCTCTGTATACATCTATTCCATGCAATTGTATGGGTCAATTAGGGTGTGACGAGATCTCGTACCATGAGATCTGGCGTTGGTTGGGGGGTGAGGGGTTGCAGGAGGAGTGATGTAGGCATGTACCATGTGGGTGGCTTCATTCATGTTTCCAGCCCTGAGTTTCTGTTGTGTTTTGGTTGGCCTAATCTACCTTAGCACCAATTCTACCACCAGTGCGTCAACACTGATAAGAAAAACACAGTTGAACATCCAGTACCAATGAAAATGCATGCCGGATCAATATGGTGTGTTAATTGTGGCCCAAATTCAACATTGAATAGCAGTGAATGCTCAAGCTAACAAGGAAAAAAAAAAGTCTTCTTCCAGTGGACGTCCAAGTCCCCGATCGCCCCCGATATCTGAATGGTCAAGCATTACAGTGCTTGCATATTGTTGTCTTTTACTGCCTATAATAATTCTTACATTAAAAAAACTGTTTAACATTCAATATCCCAACGAAAACACGGTGTATCATTATGGTCCATTTGTAACTGTGGCCCAAATCCAAGAGTGATTACCAGTGAATGCTCACGCCAACATGTTAAACAAAAGCCTTCTTCCGGTGCGCATTCATGTTCCGATCATCTCTGTACACGACTGATCAACGCAGCACCTTTGCCAGATGATGCCACCGTCTGGTGCAGCAAAAGTTGAACCACAACTTGGGGCGGGGCCATTTGCCGTAATTTTGTGGTGCTGGTGTTGGCTGCAGTGAACACAATCCCCCATAGAGATGAGTGGAGAGGGCTGCATGTTTTCACACCTTTGAAACTCAGTCTGAATGCGGCCTCACACAAGTAGAAGCCCCTCTGCACTCACAACTTTGGCGTCACATTTGTCTCTGCCCTGTGCCTTCAATAAGTCAAGCACAAATCAATCTAAAGGGCAGTAGATCAGGCATCAATGGCATAGGTGCAGTTCTTATTTGTGCAAAGCAAGGTCATAGAACCACATGGATGCTGGATCAATCAAAGAAATTAATGAAGCAGAACCTGCTGACATGACAAATATTGACACCCCTATTACATCTTGGTCCTGCAGTCCTCATCACTGCTTAAATAAATCAGGACCAAGTAGAAGGAGGCAGGTAAACTTCTGAACCTTATCCTTCGCATGAAAATCAGAATACAAGAATTGAAATATCGTGGATATGGGGCTCCCTTTTGAAATACTGAACTCCAAAATGTCTCAGAATATTTATGTTAGCAGGGGCTGCAATCAATTTCATCAGCGCTCAAAAGTTTTGCTTAATATTTATTAGGCAATAAAAAGCTAAGACAACCTACGAACTCATGAATATTTTCACTTACATACAATGTGAGGTAGAGCTGTAACTGAAGATTAGTTAGCGATTAATGATAGCTCATTATCAATCATTCTAATATATGAAAACAAGTTGAAGATCTTAAAATTTCTGGAAACAAGCAAACGGACGACATTATCGTGGCCTCACACAAACTGTAGATGCAATTTTTCCATGATATGTTTAATATTTCATACACTAAAGATTGAGAAAATTATTGACAGATCAATGATGAGAGTTTCATGTGTTTTTTCAGTTCTGCTTAAAAATGACAATTATGATACCTATTATTACATACAAGGCTGCATGTTTACATCAGTGTTTTTACAGTATTTTAAACTCAAAAATATTTGTTTGATTGTAAAAAAGAAAAACAAAAACAGATTCTTGTGGACCATCAGAAAATGTACACGACATTTACTGCTCAGTAAACTAAACTAGTGGACTGAATATACACTATTTCCATTGTGTTCAAAATAGTTCTGAACAAATTACTGTACATGTCAGTTCAATTCCCTTTAAACTTGACTTTTTATAAAAGTGACACCCCTACTCAATTAAACATCATTGACACTGGCCCACAGCTCTCTAGCATATAGAAACCCATACTTTGCTTATATTTGAATTAACTAGTTTGATTAAAAGCATAAAGCACCTCCAGCACCATTTTTCTTGCCCATATTCTGGTTTTATTTCTGACGAGAGGGACTCGGAGCAAATGGCATCCTCCATTTATAATCAATTGGAGGATTAACCTTTGCTACCTGCGGCGCCTCTCTTAGCAAAATGTCGAGTCAAGATTTAGGATTATACCTGCGAGGACATGCTTTAGCTCATTATTGGACTTAGATCTTCACATCTGTATGACACCTCATACAAAACTGGCATTCGGTTACTAATAACGACTCAGTAATCCTTAAAATCTCTCCCCAAAAATGCACCTTATCATGAGCCTTTCTCAAAATGAATGTATTTGCAAACATATCTTCAGTAAGGATCCTTCATATTTTTAGAAGCAAACTTTCCACTTTTGTACGCTCCTCAAAGGCTGGTGTTAAGATAAGTACCACAATGGTGATCCTTTTTATTTTCCTATCACACACAGCACTCATAAAACCATCTTACCACACAGAGCAAATGCGCTTCTCAAACTTTAACAGCATAGCACTAAATAAACTGACTGCCAACTATTCTCTATATCCAGTCTAGTTCTTGTCGCCAGTGCTGAAGCATTAGTTGATTAATTAATTAGTTTATCAACTTAAATGAGAACAAGTCTGAAATTCAAATAATAGTTTAGTGCGAGAAAAATGACAATTAACCTCTGTCTCCAGCCTCTCAAGTGTAAAAATGGTTCTGTTTTTAGCTGTTTTGTAATATTGTTGATTGATTATCTTCGGGTTTGGATTGTCAGATGAACAAAAAAGCAATTTGAAGAGATTACCTTGGGCTCTAGGAACTTGCTGCACATTTTCTGTAGACTAAACAATTAATCATTAAGTCTACAAAGTAATTAACAAAATGACATATAAAAGTATTGATTAGTTAACATAATCGCATCAATATTTATTTATTTATTCCTCCTGCACCATGTCAGTTAGTAGGTGCAATGCCCAAGTACTAAAATGGTTTATTTTACTGTACTATTTTCTGGAGACAACCTGGCTCGTGTTGGTCCAGCTCAGGGCCATTTATGGGCCAAAATAGCCTGGATCCTTATCTCGGCTGACAGCAAAGAGTTAGTCTTTACACTCTATAGACCCAGTCAAGGCTCAGTACTGTGGGCGAATGTCAGCCTTAACTAAAGCCAAGCAGTAGGTTAACCACACTTTCCAGACTTTGACAAGATTAAAAGTTGCCTCAACAACAGTGGTATTTGAGACTAATATGTATTCATTTATAAGGGAGAGTGTGGATCTTATCTTCTATGATTCCCTATTCACAAATGCCAAAACTGGATGTTTGTAATAATTATGCTGATGCACTGACAAATGAGACATGCTGATCAATTTATTAAACATCTCAGTCATTACTGTCAGAGAGAAGAATATAACTCTGCACACAGTTTATTTTATTTCAAAAGGTCTAATCCTGTACAGCGTTTTGGATTATGATGGCTTTCCAAGCTACTCGTGTTGCAGCACAGAGGCTGTTCTCCACTGATGGATAACAACACAGTGACAACTGCACCTTCACTCCATTGTTTTCATGCAGGAAGAACACTGCGAGATGCCTCTAAGTGAATGGAGTCAGTGGTTTGGTACACGGCGAACAAGCAAAAAACTACAGTAACATTAATTAGAAGTTACAAAAGCTAAGCTACAAAAAGGCATTAAGAATTATGGGTGTCCCAAAATGCATAGCGTTTACACGATATTAACGGGAACCTTTAAAAAAGGAACCTTCAGGATTAAACAGCAATATGATGAGTTGTATGTATACAGACGAAAGATAAATATCATTACTGCAAATGCTCGGCATGTGTTATAAAATGCTACCGTGACGCCTTTCGTTGTTAAAATAGTGCTGGAAATTGGCAATCGGAATAAGTTAATAAGTCTGCTAGGTTAAAAGTGACATATGCAAAAGTCACCAAGAACAGATTCGTGATTACACAAGGCATTAGATGACACTAATATTCGCGTTCTGTATATCTAATAGGCAGACAAAGTTCACCATACAGTGCCTCGTTTGTAAACTTCCCGTTGCACTTATGGATGTATTAAGGGAGAAGCAGTAACACTGACAGAAGCTAATGCTAACTACAGTTGACAGAAGTGACAGAGGAAAGCGAAGAGGAAATATTAAGGTACCTTGCAATGACGTCTGCCCTCTTTCGTGCTTTCTATGCCGCTGAAAAAATTCCTAAAAGTCCACAGAAAAGTTAGAAGTTTCTTTCTGCTGTTTGTGCAGACCGGACATCCAGACAAACCCCCGCTTAGCAACAAGATCTACCAAACAATGGCGGGGCCGAGTACGGCAAGCGGGAGGCTGACACGTGCTTTCTGTTGACGTTTAATCGCGACAAAATATGCACCAAATATTTAGGTCCTTTTTAATTTAGTGCTGCCATAATAACTCATAATAAGTTATAGGTGTACTACAAGAACTCAGGATGATGAACAACAAACCAATAATCTTTACACTGCAATATAATGCAAGTTATTGAAGAGGTATTCCTGTCCTTTACTTATAATAGCAATAGGCTTATTGTTGTTGTTGTTGTTGTTGTTGTTACATTACATTACATTGAGTGAGTAAATATGAGCTAATTAATCACAATTAACTATTGTTGAATTTTACAATTAATTAATGCCTTTGGTTTAGTAAAATAATGTTACTGTAGGATTGTAGTGTTGACATACACTTCTCAGCTCAGAAGTTCATCAAATACTTTGCTTATTAGTGTATTCTATTTAAATTCTAAAATTGTAGGTTGACCTTCCTGAAGTTAATTTAACATAAAGCTAAATTTTGACTAAACTCTTTATAACTTGGATGGGAGTCTGTCATCATGCATGCAGGGCTAATACATACAGCTATCTTTTGATTTGCAGGATTTATTCATTTTTCTTTATTTCTTTAGCTTTTTATAATAATAATAATAATAATATAATCCAATCCCTGATGACAAAAAGTGTCTTATTCTCCAAAATGACTGACACTTTTGACAGCATATCAAGGATGCAGATATTTGTGTCGTCTCTTTTGGCTATGGCGACTGGGCTGCAGGCAATTAGCCTGTACGTTTATCAGTAAAGAAACTTCCCAGCAACTCCAGCTATGGCTCTCATGGATATATTCAGGTTTATTCCTCATTTTATTTCAAAGAAAAGGGGGTGGATAATTTCCTTTTACTGATTACACAAAAAATATGATTTTAACCTCCTGGAGTTGGCACCTCACGTCTTTTTTACAAGTTTTAACTGCAGCTATTTTTAAAGACCCAGAAGACTAATTTCTATCCATTTATCAGAAGTCATTATCCTCTTTTACAGCTGTCATAATTCTTCTGCAGTTATTCTGTGGTTTCCTATTCAAATTAATAAAAGGCTATTATGTAGATGAGTTTGATGAAATTTAAAGTTTCATGACTTGCCCTTACAGGTTGTCATCACCTGTTGACAGGTCTGTATTTGTCCGTAGTGAAACTAAATGTACAGCAGTGACAGAGTTGGAATGTAACTAAGTACATTTACTTAAGTAAGCACAATTTTGATTTAATTTGCTTGAGTATTTCCTTTATACGTTACTTTATACTTGTACTTTTATTGGCATTAGCTGAAAACTGGCATGTTTCTGCACAACCAGTACTTCTAATATACTTTTACTTACGTAGAATTTGTAATGCTGGACTTTTATTTGTAATGGAATATTTTAAATTTTTTTTTTTTTTACTTTTTCTTAAGTATTGTAAAGGAATTAAGGACATTTCCCACTGTTTAATGACAGCTAAGCCACTGAATTAAATCTGAGATTTAAAAAAAAGCACAGACTCTAAAAATCTAGGTTATGTGACATGTTTATCCGCATTCTTCATTCTTTATTATGTTCCTGTCGCACCGTGGGCCTGCGATTTATGAGGCTTAGTTTATCTACATCCTACTCTTTAACTAAAATAGCTCAGAACTGATTCTTCCTGCTCTTTCTCCACTTAAAGTTCACCCCCAATGCTAGATGACAGCATTAATTTGCCCTTCACCTGGAAAATATCTTGATTTAATCATCCAAAAGTAGAGAAATAAGCAAATTATTTCATTTGGTCTGTAATTTCACATTGCTCTCAGTTGTGTTGTGGGCCATCTCTTACTCCATGTCTTGTTGTTACTGTTCTGGTGGCTAAGCTCTTTCAGCAATGCTGGGGCATGAACAAAGCCATGTGATATCTAGTGAATTCTCATTACACGGGGATTATCATATGTGCCAGCATGCATTCCACTCCCACATCATTAAGTGTTTTTGACCATTTACAGCCAGATACAGCACAGTGAATGTTTTGGGGTTTTTTTTATTTTGCCCCCTCTTCCCCTGAGGGATGATGATGTTTGACATGTTTTGACAACTCAACATAAATTTATCTTCCTTGTTTTATTTGCACTAGTCTACCTGGAAATCACTATGTGCCCTGCAGCTGACATCTGTTTCTTCTGTGTCACTAAACATTAGTACCTATTTTAGCTTTCTTTGTCACACATGCTCCATGTAGAAGGGAGAAGCTAGTACAGTGTAAATACTGATCTGGGAGACCTATTATTGTTTAATGAGCTGTTAATATTCCTCAATGGGCAATAATCTCAGTTACTGTTACACATCTCTCCCAGCTGGAAAGATGTACTGTTACCTGGTTCACAGCAGGTAGCTTCAATTAGATACCCATTGCACAGCCTCGGCTGCCTAACACCAACCTGGAACTCTATAATGTGGAGTTACTGTACAGAGTACATGCATTTTTCTTGCAGTTTTCAATTATTCAACTTAAGACTTTCATCACAGGAGAAGCAACATGTTCCCTTAAAATATAAGTGGCATCCCAACCAAAAACATCTTCATCTTGGAAAAAAAGAAAATGGTCCTTTGCAAATTTTGTCTCTTTATGTTGGAGTTTCTGCTTATGATTAAAGTTTGTTATGTCCTAATAAGTGTGCATACATTAGGCTTTGACAGCAGGCTGTAACAGTGAATTTGTTGCAACTTAAACTCTCAAAGGGTCAGTTAAAGTGGGTAGAAATTGTGTTTAGGATCATATTGATAACATTTTGGCAGTAAGTGTGTAGCAGAGGCTTTCTGGACCCTAATAGTTTCGCTGACAGTGGGTATGTTATGTTGGGGGATCTTTAATCTGCTTGTGCAGTCTTCTTTTTTGTTTGTTTGATTTTAAGGAATACTTTTGATTTTTGGAAGCACACATTAGATTTCTTGCTTCTCATGAGTTAGATCAGTAGAATGATACCACTCTCATGTCTAAATAGTAAATATGAACAGCTACAGCAGCAGCAGGTTAACTCGAAGACTGGAAATTGGAGAAACGACCTGCCAGGCCCTCTCCTCCTGTCTCCGGTTTTTGTGCTAAGCTAAGATAACCTTAATACACCATAGAGTGGTATCAGTCTTCTCATTTGACTCTTGACTCTTGACAAGAAGACAAGAAAGCAAATAAGCTAATTTCACAAAATGTTGAACTATTCCTTTATTGTATGTTTTACCAGCACTTTTGGTTTCACTGACTTTATATCCTTATACCCACTCCAGTCTTGTTTGTCTCTCGCTTTTATTTTCTAGTTTGTCAGCCAGTCTCTTTCTCTTTCTCTCTCTCTCTCTCTCTCTTTCTCTTTCTCTTTCTCTCTCTCTCTCTTTCTCTTTCTCTTTCTCTCTCTTTCTCTCTCTCTCTCTCTCTCTTTCTCTCTCCCTTTCTCTCACTCTGTCTTGCTCTCTCTTTCTGGGATCTATGCTTTTGGTTTATCTTTAGTAATGTAAAACAATCTTATTTCCCTGCTTTGCCCCAAAGTTTTGTTGTGTTGAAACTATAACATTTAAACCACTCTGTAAATGTAAATATGTGGTGAAAAATCTGCACTGCCCTTATTTCAAATGACAAATGGTAATATGTTTCCCTCAGCACTGAAGAAATGAAAATTTGAAGAAAAAAATATATATGTTTACTCAAACTGAAGGAATATTTTATGGATCTTAATTTGAGCTGATTATGGACATCCAACCAACTTCCAAACATTTTAAATCAGTCTGTCTGCTATGAGGTTTTCATGGTAAAACATCCCAGCAGAAACCTAAAAAAGAAATTTCTGCTACAATATAAGTTGCTGTTGACTAGAGAAAACGTGTCATTTCTCATCAACAGTGTATATGAGAGCATTCAATATCAGCCCTCCTGCAGGCATCCAATCTCCTTCCAAGCTGCTATCTGTGGACCCTACGCCAATGTGTTCAGCTTTTCTCATTAGATTTCCTACTCTTATGCATCCTAAGTATTTTTGAAGTGCGTACTGTGTGGAATGATGCAAGGTATTCAAGTATCAAGCCTGTACAAATCTCATCATGTCCAGGGTGGTGCATATATGGAAGGTTTGGTATCCTAGCAGCAGCCAATAAAAGAAGGCTTTGATTAGATATTGCCCACGGCCATCACAACTTAAGAGCCAACAGGGCGGCCTGTCTATGAACTGATGAGTAAGTGTTTACAAGCAATCAAAGATTGTTTTACTCATTCACACCGGCTTGTGGTAAAACAGAGAAATAATGGGTTTTCTTGTTCTGAATGGGAGCTTAAGGACGTGTAATCCCCTCTCGCCAAAAGGCTGATTTTTTACATGAGTGCAGACAAAATGGACCCAATCAGGTATCTGAGCTGGGTGGTGATTGCTGAATTAAACCAGCTGACTGACTTTCATACTCATTCATGGATGGCTTTTATTGTATGTCACTGCATCTGATTGTGCCCTGATTGCCGGTGTTCACTGTGAGAATGATTTCATGGCATACATAAGTACTTTGTGAGTTGATCACACCCTCTATGCTGTGACACTGAACTAAGAAAACCATAAAGTCTGGAATATTTTACCATTTAGTTTTGATCTGAAAGGTGTTTGCATACTGTATATGACAATATATGATGTGACAATAACTTTTTTAACAGCCATAAAGAAAATTGTGCCGGCAATATATGTGGAGATTCTCATTCTTCTTGGATATGGTAAATGTGAAGTGCCAACTGGAGACGTTTCACTTCTCATCTGAGAAGTTTTTTGATTTCTGACTAACTGGTAGGGAGTCCCCAGGTATTTACTGTAACTTCTGAGGAGTTGCTAACACCCTGAGGGCCACTGAAGTCTCCTGTGGGTTGTTAACCCAGCTGGCCATCATGTGGGTGATTAGGGTCACATGAGTCAAAGTGTGGAAGAATGACAGATTGCCTGGGAAGGAATGTTGGCCTTCACAGAACACATCAGTGCAGTAAACAGCAACAAGTTTACATGGGATGA